TTAAAACATACTTTTAACTTTGAATCAAAATTTAATTATATTGTTATAATATATTTAAAAAATTTTCTTAAGTAATCCTATTCTATAGAATTTTAAATATATATATTCAAATTTTTATTATATTTTACTAATTACAGTTCTGGCGGAAAAGACTGAGACTAAAATAAAATTAATTTATTTTACTAGTTTTTAAAATTGTCATTTAAAATTTAAAATCTAAGAAGTTTATTATATATATTTTATGTCTATAAATTTTTAATATTGAATTTTTTGACCGTTTTCTTCAAGTACTAAATTTACTCGATTTTCTATACTAGCGGCTAAATTAAAGCATGTGCTACGATCGATGCATTTCTACTTACTTTTAATTATTGCTTTAAAGTCATCTTGTGTAACTGATTTTTTTTCATTGACCATTCTTTTACCTTTTTTTCCACCTTACGTTTTATTATTGATCACAAGTTTTCTATCGAATTTAGATCCGGCGAATACAATGGCCAATCAAGAACATGCACGCAACGATTTTCGAGAAGAGAAGTCATGACCTTAGCAATATGCTTTGGGTCATTATCATGTTAAAAGACCCATGACCTCCCAAAAATTTGGTTGGCTTGATTAAAAAGATTTCTAGTTAATATTTTACAATACAACTCCTTATTTAAAGTTTCAGAGAACATGTGAAATCCTACGATCCCTCGCGAACAAAAAGCACACCACACATGAATTTTGAAAAGGTGTTTAACGACTTCACAGCTTGGTTTTTTTTCATCAATTTTATAGCAGACTAAGGTTGTATTACAAAACATCTGAAAAGTAGTTTCGTCAGAAAAGATCACATTTTCCCAGTTTTGATGTTAATGTTTCTCGGCCCAGGCGATTCGAGTTATGATGGCATTTTCGGTAAGAAATGGAGTGGTTTGAGGTATACAAACTCGGTAACCAAGCTTCTACAGGTTTTCTCGGACTGTTCGCGTAGCTATATTAAGATCTGGATAAGTTGTATTCATTTTTTCGACAATTTCTAAACTTGTTGCATTACGATGTGATTTGGCAAACTGACTAAGAAAACGAAGTTTTTTTTTATCTAGGACCCTTGGATGACCTGGTCAACTTTTTTGCCTCAAGTCTTTTGTTTTAGATAGTTGGGTGACCCATTTAAATAGTGTGTTTCGAGGAAACCCGATAATTTTTTGCAAAGTTTTTACATTACAAATTTCTTTTTCCCATAAGTCTTTTATTAATGAGCATCATTTCACAAGGGGTAGCTTATAAGGCATTATAATATTATTTGATTAGGAGGATATTGTTGCACCAGGGTGATCTTATATATATTAGCTTATATTATCTAAAAATAAATAAATAAATAAAAAGTTGCGTCACTTAATAAAATTTGATGTGTAATTATTTTTTAAACATGTAATCATTAGTCTTTGTTTTTTCTGCCAGAACTGTAATTGTTGATTTATAAATAAAATTAAAAATCAAAATTAGTTTAAAGACTTTTGCACCATACCATATATATTTATTATATTATATTGATAAAAAAAAACAAAATTTTTATTTTGAATTTTAAATACATATACAGTATAAAATAATCTAAAACAAATTTTTATATATTAAAAAAAATAAGAATAATATTCTATTCATTTATAATATATTGACACGAAAAAATCATATAATTATACAGTATTTCATTTAAGAAATAATTTTATATCATTAAATTATGGATTTTAAATCAAGTCTCTGGATATGCTCGTTGCTATAATAGCTACAAGGTAGTACTAATGTGAATATTTTGAATTTGGATTTTCATTTGTATCAAGCTATTTTTTTTTTTTTGTAGTCATTTCGCAATTTAATAAGTTTGATCTTAAATAGCATATGAACGATGTAACGTAATCAAGTAAATACATAATTCACATGGTCTTACTGCTTTATTACATGCAAATTAATTTTTATAGCTGGAAATTGTTGTGTCACGAAAAACTTGAAATCATAATAAACCCTAATTTTGAATTTGTTTTCTTATCGTTATCTTTGGAATAACTTTTAACCAATTGGAAGAATAATGCTCAAACTAAGAAAATTCTGGCGTAAACCTTTCGTTATTTGCAATTATCATTGTCACCTGAACCATACTAAAAGCTATACGGAGTGTGGTCATGTTATCATTCGTGTTGATTTTTTGTTGATTGTCTCTAGTACTTATATGACTGTTTTTCAGGTGATTAAACGCTAGTGTTACGTAATTTCTGATACTAATTTAAAAAGCGTTTATTTGTGGTTTTCTTGAAATACAAAAATTCACACAAATACCTTTCTCCGCAGACAATTCCATTACCAATTTTATCGATTCACCCTTGCCTTTGTCTATTAACTTCCGGTGGTCTCACGTATTAAAGAATTGGATCTTTGTTTTTACGACATTTCTGAATCGAGATATTATTTAAGGAGCAATTTGCTTAACGAAATTAAAATTTGATTATTAAAACAAGTTCCATGAGGAAAGAAGAATTTACGTTCTAGAAGAAACATTAAAAAATAATAAAATATAGTATAAAGTAAAAATCATACATATCCAAAATTACATTCTCATTTGTCAAAATTGTAAACTTCACGATCGGAAAGCAAAATTTATACAAGTAACTACTGGTAAAAGCATTCTTGAAAAGTATAAAAATACAAGATGCCTGCAGCTGTAATAAATCCGTCATCAATGGACCTTTCGATGAATAAGCCCGTGCCCGATTCATTAATAGGTAAATGATTATTTGAATTATCAACAATTTTCGGATTCGGTAAGGATGGATGGCGAGTTATGTTATTGTCGATTAACTTTCTTTTCTCCCTTCAACTCTTTCAATTCTGTCCACGAATTCAGATTACGCCTCAACTTCAGTGCGTTCCATCCTCCATGTTAAATCCACGCTGCCCTCTCATAAATCCCTTCAACCATATTTACCCGACCTCCTTATATTCATCAAGAAGTTAATAACCGACCTTGAGTTGCCAGTGTTAACAATAATCGTATGTTTAATCTATGTTCACCGGTTTAAGAAAGCCCTACCAAAAAACTATAGGACGGAGTATGGTACTGCCCATAGGATATTCGTAAGTTCGGTGTTAGTGGCAAGCAAGTATATTGACGATCAGCCGTTGACGAGTAGACGTGTGGTGGAGAGTGTAGGATGGGATGTTTGGAGTATTAAAGAAGTTAATCGGATGGTAGGTTTCTTGAATTTATAATATCGTGGGGTATTTTTTATGAATAAAACCCAATTTTTTGAATTTGTGCATCAAATCCTACAGGAAAGAACTTTCTTGAATTCTTTAAAATGGAATCTTTCGGTTGATCGTGAATCGTTATGCTCGTATTTGACAGAATTAAGAGAGAACCAACACATCGAACTCTGAATTACACTAAATTCATTTTTTGCATATACCTCTCGTTTATCCTGTGTACTTTAACTTTTCTTTGTACATATATTCCTTTCAACATTGTTTAAATGTAAATGCCTATGTTAAACAAATATTTATTTATATTTATGAAATAGTGAATCTTCTGCGTTGTTCCCTTTATCCCAAAATATTCTACTCTATGCAACGATTCAATGTTTTCCGGGAATAAATAAATAGATAGTACTTTTGCTTGAATTGTTTCATAAACAATCATTTAAGCTATTTTTTTACATAAATTTTTTTATTAATAAATATTATTACTTTATTAGATGCACAGTATATATAAAAAAACTAATTATATATGAAAAAAAAAATAATATGGTGCCAGTAGTCTATACTCAACAATCACATGAAATGTTTCGATTTTTTTATATAAAGATCTTTTATTACGTATTTTCTAATTAACCAATAGTATTGTAATAGATAATCAATCTTTTTTATTATTAATTTCTATTTCTATTCTTTTTGGCAAAATACGATGTGACTTGTATTTTTTAACGGCCCATTCAGCAGTTTTACCCTCTAATCCCTTTTCATAAGCATCCATATATTTCCATGATTTACGTGCAAAATTACGAATAATTGTTATAGGAACATTAACAAATGCTTTTGGAATTTGTTCAAGTAAGTCTTTGTAATTATAATTACAAGTTCGTCTTGTTTCTCGCTTTACATAACCCCAATATCGTTCTATAAAATTATATTCACAATGAAATTTTGGATATCGTTCAAATATATGTTCAACCTTTACAATTGTTTTCTCTAGCATTGATTGTTGTTCACAGAAATCAGGTTGCAATAACATAATTCTTTGTGCACAACAAGTTGATCTTTCTGATTCATTTTTTTTAGAACATTGATCACATATCAAATTAATTCCTCTTTTTGACCAAAGGTTACGTTCTTTTAATACTTGTTTTATACCCTTTGGTTGTCCTCTTAGCTTTTCTTCTGGATAATTGTTTGGAAATATCATTGATTGTATTTTTTTTTTTCCATTTTTGTCTATATACCAACCATTACACATTTTATGTTGTACTCCCCCAGGATCTAAATTCATTCTTGTTGCGACCAATGCATTTTCAACCATTGCATTGTGATTTGTTGATTGGTCAAAACAAAAAACACCGATACATCTGGGATGTAATATTTCAAAGATTGAAATGGCCCTATGTACAAACTATATTTATAAATTGTTGAATTATTGGACTATTGGATTATTGGATTATTAAAACAACAAAAAATTAAAAAAAAAATATCGACTTGATCCAACATATGTTCTGATTTCCAATATCCATCGGTTTGTATAGAACGAATAATATAACTTTCCTTATATTTAATTTGGGGAT